AATGGCGCCATGAGATGGCGCTGTTCGCGCTTCGCGCGGATCCGGGCTGCAGACTGTCAAGCTTAGTTCAGTCGATATGGCTAGTGAGCAGCCTTACCGGCTCCCGGCCTTGACTACACACCGGTCCGTATAGAGTCATTGTTGTTCTGCGTGACACTGAATTTGTTTAACAAACCATAGCAAGTTTTTTTTGTAATTGCAGGATGTGGGCGGATACGGATAGTTCGACTGTTTAGCTCGCATGTTGTGCGTGTTTGAAAACTATTTGACAAATATCCAGTGTTGTTTTATAGCTCAGTTGCAAATTGCAAAAAATTTTGAATGTAAAACATAATTGACTTTGTGTTTTAAGTTCAATGCTGTACGAGTTAGTTTTTAAACATATTTAATCTTAATGACAATATTGCATTTCATATTCTCTAGAAATCGCTGCATGATTGATGAAAATTTTACATAACAACATGCCAAAAAAATATTTGCGTTTTTGTGGATCAAATATATAGGTCACATAAACAAACATAAAAATTACATATTGAAGTGGGACCGTATAGCGGGGGTGGGGGAAGGGGGTGATGATGATGATGATGATGATGATAATGATGATGATGATGAAGATGATGGTGATGATGATGACGATGATGATGATGATGATGATAATGATGATGATGATGAAGATGATGGTGATGATGATGACGATGATGTTAATGAAGAGCTCATAATACCTAATATATGATTCTTCTCAAGTGTGGTTTTATTTCGCAGACACTGAGTAGAGACACTGAGCTTGCAGCGAGTAATCGTAAGAAGGTCCCTGCGATTCACGTGTTCTCCTGCGCTCTGCGCTACTTCCGCGACCACGCGCTCCAGGAACTGACCGACCAGTCAGCGACGAAGATACTGAATGAGGATGTTCGCTGGGTCATCACCGTTCCAGCGATCTGGAAGCAGCCAGCTAAGCAGTTCATGCGACATGCTGCCTACGAGGTGATGTCGCCTTCCATCGGTTATGAACCTTTTCCAATGACATGTGTCTATCATAAATATTTAGATAACATGGTGAAGTGAAATGCACGAGTTGTTGGTAAATCTTCGAGCCCACTTGGCACCTATACGTCCCATAGAGGCAGTCCTGGCCTCCATGCAACTCATCTAACCCAATCGATGTTTGCCTTTGGCAATCAATTTTGATTCACTATGAAAAGGTGTTTCTTGAAAGTGAGTCATTATGCAAAGGTTTATATGGAGGATTCTATTCTGCTGTTTATTGAGTTACATCTTTGTTTTTAAATTAACTGTAAGTGTGAAAATGTTGACGACTGTTTGCAAATAGCGTGAGACCATCTCTTGCAGGCCGGCATAGCTTCTGCGCAGTACCCAGACCAGCTGCTTATTGCCCTCGAGCCGGAGGCGGCGTCCATCTACTGTCGAAAGCTGCGTGTGCACCAACTAATGCCCGTGACACCACCAGTGATGCGTCTCTCCCCCCGGGCTGTGGAAGGCTCCCCTGCAGAGAGTGCAGAGTCAGTAGATGACAATGTGTCAGAAGGTAACCAGGTGGTCTGGTAGTACGTTCATTTACTCAGTGTGATCGCATCAGGTGTTTAAGTTTGCCACGAGTTGGAAAGGAGTTGCAAAACGTGAAATCGTTGTTCCTTTTGCATGCAAGTTTATACTATTGGGGGTACCTAGTAAAGTATTTTTATTGTGTACTCCCGAGACTTGTACTCCGTATGTTGTTGGCCGTTGTGGCACCTTGTTTTTTTCACTTCGGATTCGTTTGGAATGTATTTCTGTTTGTGAGCATGTCTCTTTTGCATGTTAGTAGAAAATACTTCATAAGAGCAGTTATGTACAATTATAACAATGATATGTATTACCTTGCTTGTACTCGCTCGTTGTTCCTTGCGTACCTTTGCATGCTTGTCCCGTGCTTGATGCTTGTGCTAAATAATCGTGATGCCTTGCCGTGTGAGTTTTACATGCATGCTATGTATTACAGACTCTAGCTCTGCTGAACTGTTTTTGTCCAAAAATGAACTTGTTGAAGATGACATCAAAGCAGGTAAACACAGTTGCGTGTGATGGAAATACAATCAGACTGTTATCTCTGTCAGAAGAATTATTTGATGTGATTTTGGTTAATTGTTTTTATTATTTTGTCCACAACCTATATTTGTTCTTCTGCCACAGTTGTATGTCTGAAAAAACAAATAATACATGAATACGTGAATATTTTACAAATAGATATTCAGTTGAGATGAACAATCACAAATAGTCTGTTGCCATTGAAATACTATCGACGAGTCATTCACGTTTTGTATTTATACTTCAACCGAAGAACGTTTGTGAGGTTAGTTTAATCATATAAATAGAAGCAATCCGTCAGTCAGGTGTATACCAGACTATCGGAATATCTACAAATCTAGACAGACGGAGCCTGCGTAATCAGCAGACCAGTGATTGATCTGTATGGCTGGTGGTTGTAGGCACTCGCTACATTCTCGTTGACTGTGGAGGAGGGACGGTGGACCTAACAGTGCATGAGATGGGCAGGAAGCACGCTCACCTGAAGGAGCTGTACAAGGCTACAGGAGGACCACACGGCTCAGTGGGGGTCGACATTGCCTTTCTCAAACTACTCAACGACATATTTGGAGTGGAGTGCATGAACCAGTTCAGGTATCAAATATACTCGTAAATGACGTCGAACGATGAATTTCCATAGCTTGGAATTAGGCGCATCCACAGCAGCAGAGATAGCAGACATGTCAGTGCTGCCACCTAGTGTAGAAAAGCGGAGGAAAACGCAATATCTATGTATATAGTTGTTCAGCCGAATTAGTCCGTACTCGCATAACTAGATAACTCCGCAGCCTAGAGGAAAACTAAAGATATTTTCAGAATCAGCACGTCTGGGAGGTTTTAAAATGTTAAAAAGTTAAAAATTGATAAAAATTCTATTCATCAATAGATGGTGGTGCGTACAGATTAACATCACGTACGTGTGAATCCATGGTGTATATCCTTAACGGTGCAGTGTCCTAATTGCTAGAACATCCGTCTCCTACATCGGGATTCTGGGTTCGAGTCCCAGCTGGGGAACTTATTTTTTCCTTTTTTCCCTTTACCTACTTCTTTACTGACTTTAGTATGTATTATTTTTTATTTTTTACTTAAAAAAAAAAAATATTTATTGTCTTTTGTCTTTTGATTTCTTCTTATTTTTTACTGTTTGGGATGGGATGGGATGGGATGGCATTGGATGGCATGCGATGGCATGGGATATGGGATGGGATGCGGTGCGATGGGATGGGATGGGATGGGATGGCATGGCATGGCATGGCATGGTATAGATAGATAGTTAGATTTTTTTGGGTATTTTCCTTTCAACCAATTGGTCACCAACTAAGTAACGCCATTGATTTCCCCGGGCAACGCCGGGTATCCCGCTAGTACATAATATTTTCATCAGTTTTACTCTGAACTGGGGAATTTTGCTCTCCTGTACGTAGGAACTCCGTACCCAACCTGTAGGTTTCTACCACGAGCAGTCAATGAAGAGCACTGGACACTTAAATAGTCTGTACTATTAATGACGCTCGTAGGGTCTATGTCCCCCTGACCTCTGTTTGACCTGGCTCGTTTACCTATTTCTGACTAACCCTAACCCTAACCCTATATATATATTATATATTATATATATATATATATATTAGTCAGAAATAGCAAAACGAGCCAGGTCAAACAGAGGTCAGGGGGACATAGACCTTATCTGTATTAATGACAGACAATTTTCCAGATAGAGCGACGTTATGCACACGTTTCATTTCTTAACGATCAGAGAGAAACGACCTGCGAGTTTCGTGGACCTGATGATAGCGTTCGAGTCGCGTAAACGCAACACGAGTCCATTCAAGGATAACCCGCTGAACGTGTCTCTGCCATTCTCATTCATCGACTTCTACAAGAAGGCAAAGGGACATCACATCGAGGCTGCTATCAGGAAATACGGTGACAAGGTGGGTTTGAACATCTAACAAGCCTGATCGTCGTGTTTTTCTAAGTGAGCAGGGCGGCAGCAGGCTCCAGTTACCAGTGTTTCTCAATGTATATAACTACCACCGTACCACGGGATTCAGTTATCTGTGGTTGTCTATATGTAACAACTAACGCGGGAGCAAGTTACCAGTGTGTTTCTATATAAATGGGATGTGAGCAAGTTACCAGTGTGTTTCTATATAAATGGGATGTGAGCAAGTTACCAGTGCTTTATTCTATGTGAACACAGGACGTGAGCTGGTCGTCGCAGGGCATGCTGCGGCTGATGCCGTCTGCAATGAAGCGGCTATTCCAGCCCACCGTCGATCACATCAAGCAACACGTCGGAGACGCGCTCAACAATCCCAGCGTACGCGACATCACCTACCTGTTCCTCGTCGGTGGATTCGCCGAGTCTCTTATCCTTCAGCAGGAAGTGCGCAAGGCCTTCGGACATATCCTGAAGGTTAGGCAACAATTTGATCAGTCGGCTCCAAGTTCTAACTCTAAAACAATATTAACACGATTGGCAGATCAGTAATTACGAAGAGATGGGAATTACTAATAACATGAACATGTGTATAGAACCATTCACAAAAACATGTTCTATAAATATATTCATGGTAATAGCCAATATAGTAATGTAAATGACACATGATAATAATGATGATGATAATAATAATAATAATAACAGCAATAACAACAACAACAACAACAACAACAACAACAACAACAACAACAAATAATAATAATAATAATTGGGCGTCACGTTTTGTTGCAGGTGATCATTCCACAAGACGTAAGTCTGAGCATCCTCAAGGGGGCAGTGCTGTTTGGTCTCGACCCGACCGTCGTCAACGTACGTCGATGTCGCTTCACATACGGCGTCGGAGTTCTCAACCGGTTCGATCCGGCAAAGCACCCGGAGAACAAGCGAGTCGTGAAGGACGGTGTCACGTGGTGCGCGGACATATTCGATAAGTAAGTTATAGATAATAGTGGCCCCCAGTGCTGCCGTTGCATAGTGCATCGCTAGTGCGAGGGCAGCATGAACGTACGAGGTTCGACGATCGTGTAATAGCATCATCAGTAATTACAGAATTACATGATTCATTTTTTATCTTCTGTTTTCTTGTTCTGGATTAACATTGCTTTTATTTCCGACTTGATAGTATTAGTTTGATAATTGATATCCGCGCTTGTTATTTGTCGACCCAAATACAAGTCAGATGTACCGGGCAATAGCCAGAAACCACAGAAAACACCCGCACTCGGCGAGGTTCTGCTATTATGCTGACACCAACCTATTCGTTGGATTCGTTTTGGTCAGATTTGTTGTGACGGGTCAGTCAGTGGGCATCGGTGACGTCGTCATGCGGAAATACGCTCCGGCGCGCTGCAACCAGTCAACCAGTGTGATCCATATTTACTCGAGCGAGACTGAGGACCCACAGTTTCTCTCTGACCCGGGCACGCATCACTGTGGCACCCTGACCCTTGACCTCAGCAGCACGGCTTCGCACACGTTCCGACACGAGATTCAAGTTCGCATGACGTTCGGCGACACGGAAATAAAAGTCAACGCGGTTAACATGGCGACTGGAAAAACCGTGAAGTCTTCAATAGATTTTCTATGTAATTAAGCACTTTGCTACTGTTGGAGGTGCACACACCAACATCTAAAATTCATCATCACTTAATTAATACTATGTCGCTCGTTACATATCTACATATGCCTGTACCTCGTGTTATGACAGTGCAGATTATTAAGTTAACGATGAATGATGTTTGCTGAGAGTCTCTGATTGGTTATTTTGATGATTTGTTGGATGAGTACTTGCTAGAAGCGCCAAAGAATGGTTTGAAACAAAGTCATTGTAAAGGTAATTGTGAGGTAAATAACAAATATGTATACACTGTGTATAGTTTCCCATTTTATCATGTTACGACTTGTATATATGGGTTGTGCGTGTGTGTGCATGCATGTGTAAATGCATGCATGCACGTGTGCAAACTTTTGTAGCCTATTAGCCTAGGACAGCCAAAGGCATTGCACCCATAGTGCACATTACTAATTATAATCATATCAAAGTACATAGTAGAAGAAAAAGAAAGGTATCTTGCATGAACTTCATATTGAGGTTTCCATTCAATATCGCGTCCATAAAAACGTGGTCTTGTGGAGTTTTTACATTATTGAATATTCACAGGTATATTTCTTTCACCACGTTGGGTTCCCACTACTGTGTAGGTTAGTAAGCCACTGTCACTATTAGTTGTTGAATATACTTACGTAAGAGCCCAGTAACATTAGTTAAGATGTTAAAAGGCTCTTGACATACATCATCACAAACGTGAGTTAATGCAACGCAAGTGGACATTGTACTGTTTCACAGTTGCCCATGAATTAATAGTCTTCTCCAATTTATTCTTATTTAATTTATAACACTGTCTTTCAATAATCAGTTATTATATAATTATATAAAGCTGTGTATTTTTCTCCTACATAAATACAGTTACTTACCTGTAATTCTGTTTTCAGTGCATATTAGAACATGTAAATGTAAAATTATATAGTATATTTTATATGTATGTGTTAATATATGAGTTGCGTTTGCAAATATTTGTTTTCGTTTTATAGTAATATGAATTTTATCCTTACAAATGTATGTTAGAGTATACTATATAACTGCCTGGTAGTTCTAAGTGTTAACATCTGGTGTCACAGATTCTCAAGTCAAATGTCCACATTCCATTACATCCGTCACTACAAATTCCATGATCATTTATGAGCAAGCACGGAATCTCTACTGTAGAATTGAAAATGTTATATCACAAGTTGGACAGAAGTTCATTGGTTGTGTCTATCTTATAGTTAACACATGCACAGTGTGTAGCAGATAGAAAAAAAGAGCTGCTGGTAAAAAGAGTATCATTGTACTACTATACCTTTTCTATAATACCAGAAGTATGGAAACATAAACAATATCAAATTGACATGAAATGTTTTAGTATCTCTGATAATTAAAAAGGAAAAAAATGAATTGGCATATTGAATGCAATCGCAATATAAAAATGTGGAGAAATTTTTACCATTATTCATATTACGACCCTTCTGGATATTAGCGACTTCTGATCACATTTGCATATATTCATCTATATGTAACATATATTTCAGAAGTAGATAACAGGGAAGTTCCCTATTAGTTCCCTACTAGTTCCATATTATCTACTTCGGCTATTATCTACTTCTGATATATTTACATCTTCAAATTAAATGTCATTTTATGATTTGTAGTTATAAACTCTGATAATGTGGAATGAACTGTGTACATATAAATACAAATTATTGTGGTATGTAAAAGCTCCGTAATTACTTATAGAATTTATGGTGCACAATAACTGTCAATGGCCTTTGCTTTATATATTTCTGTTTATCTGTCATGGTTAGATTCAGCGAGTTGAATATCAAACATACGTGTGTCCGTTTAGCAGAAATCTAAACAATAGGTCGCAGCAATCATCAGATGAACACTGCTGTCCTGCAGTGCTTTGTCTCGTGAGTGGAACACACAGAAAGGCAGTGAAATATAATGTTCAGCATGTATTATTAAGTGAGAATACTATACAAAAAAATATTTGGAATGCACAAGCTGCACTCTATTGCATATTAATTTTGTTAAATTAAATACTGCCTAAAATAATACGACCCTGAAAGAACAATGTGATACAATACAATCAATATGTACATTTCCCTGACACCGAAATATGTATTACAAGTTCTAGACCACATTCAAATACCGTATAAGAGTTCGTCTGTTAAGATGAATTCAGAGCGTAACACAATGCTAGATAACGATTACATCAAGAGCATATAAAGAAGGTATATGCTGCTCCTTCTTTATATGCTCTTGATTACATCTAACACAATTACTGTGAAATGTAATTGCACTATCAGTTAACTGAAATGTAACTGGAAGATATTTTTCTTCTTGTAAACCTCAATATAATTCATAACCATACCACGTACATATTACATCCTACTACATTGAGTACATTCAGTGCAGTATGGTTCCACACATTTGTTCACTCTATAGCTGCAGGTTCCAAACAAGTAAATTATAGGTAGTGTGCAAATATCACAACAGGGCACACCCCACTCACAGACGCTACTCGCAGATGTACTACTTTGTACGAAGGGAAACTGTTCAGGGCCACCCAAGAAAACACGAGTGACATCAAGAGCCAATGTGATTGAATAAAGGTGATGATAGAATGACAGTGTCACATTGGACCCAACTTCTTTCATTCTACATGCATTTCTTTTGTAAATATATAGACTAGCCTGGTAGACAAATCTATGCATGTACCATACCAGGTCAAGAAACCTCCACACAAACATCCATTAAAATCTCATGCAGACTAGTGTTCATTTATTGTATCACACGTAAAAATGGCACGTGTGCAAGTTCTAGAAAATCATTTCCATTTATTCTTATATCTTATATGATATTCATATCATTAAATGCAATCAATATACTCCTCCATTAAAATGTTCCAAGTAGACATGCTATCTATTACCTTTTCATACACTTCATACAGACATATCAGATTTTCAGAATGCCTTGATAAATGATGTGTTCACTGCTTACTCATAAAGTCTCTCACTGTATGGTCGCACTAACCAAATACAGACAAAGTACTACTTTTACAAGCTGATTTCATTACCTTGATACCGATTGTCTGGCAGATAGGAAAACTTGGCAATATTTTCAAGTTGCTATGCAAAAAATACAAGAAAATCATGCACAACTAGCATCTGCATATTTCGCACACATAATGAATAATCACCAATAATTAGGTGCACACAGTGATATCAATCGTAATAACTACTATCACATACCCTGTAGACATTTCCCTACTGGTCAATCAAATTCGGGGATGTCGTCGTAGGAGTAGCCAACGTAGCCCTTGTATGCATAGACAGCTATTCTCACATGGTAAGCTCCGGGAATGAAGAGGATGGATCCCAGTATTAGCAATGGCCACATCCTGTCACCATACTGCAACAGTTTCGATAGCTCTTAAGGAATGTGTAACATTGACTATTACACGACGAGGGACAGTTTTTATTGCAAAATGAATACTACGTAGATGATATCCAAGTAATGATGATCCAGTGTGTACATGTCATATTAAATGAATGAGATTGATGGCCAAACTGATTGCAATCACTAAGATAAGCGGATTAGCGGATTGAACATTTAGTAGATTTTTAAAGTATTTTAAAAATACGTCATGTAAAAAAAGGCATTTCAGATATGCTTTTTCTGCACCATTCACAAAATTACCTTAGCATTGATGTGGCCAGTCATAAGCAAGGCACTGATAGTGATTAATAATGTTCCCAACAAACAGAGTATAACTGCTAGTAAGATAGCTTTGTAAGGTATTGTAGGTGGAGGTCTCTGGAACTGAAAACAATCATTTTTTTATATTATACACACAGGCTAACGAATATATGTATCACGACTATTAGTCTCACAACAATACAAAAAATGTGTATCTACCTACATACATGGTGCATTTATGGCAACATATTTTCGATTAAATAATGATGTTTTTCACAATTACAGTATTTCATGACTCAAATACACTTCAGGAAAATTACAGCATTAGCTGCATTAGCATTGTGCAGCACTATGTTGTGCCCTAACTTCTAACTTATTGTCTCTGTGAAGTCTAATGCAATAAATTCAGGGTGTATACATTGTACATACTTGTAAATCTACAAAACCTTCATCTTCCGCATGTAGTTTTTGATATCTGATTGAGGAATCCCCCATTTTAGTACTCCTCCGTTTCATATTTTTGACACCAACAAGTTCACTGAACGTCGGTCCGTATGTGGCAATTTCTGTTACAATTGTAACAGTACGTCCCTTCAACTCCCTTGCCCAAATAATGGGAAGCTGTAATACAAAATATAACAGGATATATTATTCCGCGCATACCTTGTTTTACTTAAATGGCAAATTCTGATTGAGATCATGTTTCTGAAACTGCAGTTGAACATCTCATTCGGAACCCATCTATCAATATCAGTACAGATAATTTACAAACAACCCATTGTTAGCAGTGTGTATTTGGTGAACGTAGCTCTAGCTACAGTAGCATTTGTACACAGCGCATTGAATGTAATGGGCTTGGGCCGTCTATTGCACAATCCTAGTTTGGCCCCCCGGTATATATATTTGCAAAAATTTGGCCCGCGCCAGGCCCGAACTAGTTTGATGTGGTATCAAATTTGCAGTCTGTACAGGGTATATATAAATATTTGGCCTGGCGCGGGCAAATGTTTGCAGTGTGTTTACGTGTTAGTCCAGACTAATCTGACCACGCAAATGAAGGAGAGCCAAGTTAGCCCGGGAGGGGGGGGGGACACTCCCATTGTTAAAAGTACTGAGGACGTGCCGCTGGACAGGGTATATTTTCCGAACATCATTATTGGCACAGGGTTATCTAGATACCCACCCATCAAGCTGATATTAGCCTAATATTGGCAAAACAATATTGGGCCAATATCACCAGGCCAATATTGGACCAATATAGGCAGATATTGGTTATATAGGCAGATATTGGTTCAAACTTCAATATCGGCAGATATTGGCCCAATATCGGCCCAATATTGGCAAAACAATAGCCAGGCCGATATTGGACCAATATCTACCTATATTGACAGGAGGACAGGTCATAACCGAAGTGGGCAATATTGCAACATGGTATACTTTTTAGTGCAGTATATTGGGGCAGGGTGTATATTAGGGCGCAAAGCGGTTTGCGACAGGGTCAGGTTTTCAAGGTCCCCGAACACCCCCCTAACCCAGTTCTGAGGCGTGTGCCCCCCCCCGCGACCCAGGACTAGATTTTTATGAGCGGATTCACGAATTTTGCCAGTCTTGTACGGTATTAGGTTTTGCTTATATGCTGCGGCCAACTAATTCGTGGAGCTACTGAGATTGCCCACCGGCGTCCTGAACCATCTGAACGCCGCGCGTTATGAGTGTTTTTGGCGATAAACTGGACAATGTCAAGTGGACATCCAGACATGTCATTGTCAAATCATCGATAAAACCTCGGTAACAAGATGTGTTTAACAGTTGTTCGAATCATCACGTCGGCCGTCGCGACAGTTTCGAGTGCCGGCCTACAGCCTTCTTTGATTACACAAGGCCCGGCTGATCCTAACAGCTATTTTGATCACCGAAAATTCGAACACGGAGAAACTGTTACCTGTAGAAATCCTGTTATGATATTAACTTCGCAGGGTGTATTTATTTGAAAACTATATCCGTGATAAACCGTGACATACATGTATACAATTGGTTCGCCACATGCAAATCAACTTTAGGTGGCGTTCAAGAACGTGCGTGCGGATGTTCGAAACGCACAGGTTGGCACAGGTTCCTGCCATCCAGTAGCAGCGTTGGCCATACCAAAATCGATAAGAAGTGGGTATACCCTACATTGTGTTGGCCAGGGATTATTTACGTGCACGGTCGCTGCAAGCACGCCACTTTTTCACGCGCGCTAGGTTGTGGAGTAATTTATCACATCCCCGCCCGGCATTTCACGACTTCGATGTAAACAATAACAGTTATCATTGGTTCGTTATTACAAACGCATTCAGTATACTGTTTTAAAATAATATTAAGAAGATTTAGATAAATTATATCATGTTGAATTATACAGTAATAATAATATTGTCTCAAGTTTTTTACACAACATCTCATAATTAAGTCACTGGTAGCTGCCAAAGCACGGCGTATTACTTACTAGTCACGGCAAAACAGCAGTACAGGCCTCGTCGCACCCACTCAGGTTTAACCGCTGTCATATGCTGTTTTTAACGTTTGGAAAAACTAGTATACATTTTATTACCAGGGCTGATAACTAAATAAAAGCCTTCCTACGTAAGAGCTTGTTATGTCTGACAAAATACATTTACTTCGGACACACTCAACACAGACGTGAGATTCCCCAGTGCCATCAACAATGTTACAGTAGGTAAATTTTAACATAATTTTTCTTTTTCCACCGAAAAGTGTTGCTAGTTGTAAGCTATTGGAGCTACCTGAAATGGCTCTAGATTTGCATCTCAGAGCTTAATAATTTTCAAAATGTTCTGGCCCCAGTACCCCCATAGAGTCCGGATGTGTACCAGTCTGTCTCTCTGCTGTCAAAGTGAAAGTCGTAGATCTTTTACAAGGAGGCTACGTATACAACGATGTGGTGTTCCTTAATTGTTGCAGCCCGCCGACAACGAGCATAAACAGTCATCCGACGAGAGGAAGGAAAAACAGAGGCGATTAGTGATTATGGACATTGATAATGACTAATCAACATAAGAAGAGAACATGATATGCTGCTTTTATTACTGTAATTTGCTCAAAACTTGGCGGGCCTACAGCTTTGCATGGCTGGGCCTGCCAGCTTTTAGAAGCTATAGGCCTGCAGGCCTACAGTCTTTTTATCTGCTCAGTGCGCAAACACTCGCGTGCTGTAAACCAAGCTGAATCTGCCACATCTCGAATTGTGCAACGATTGTGGCTGCCCAAACTGCGGATTCCCGTTAGTTGGCCTGACCCATTCTCAGTGATTGTGCAACTGAAACAGTCAGTGATTCAAAACCGCTTCATCGCCACTGGCAGCAGAACAAGTCGGCCATGTTGTTATATTATACGTCAATGGCGCGCGCTGTGTGTGTAGCTGCAGGTGCTGACTTGTTTCTTGCCTGCCAGTGCTCATAGCGCAGTGTGTGTGTACGTGCGTCACAGCAATTGGGCAGAGTCAGTAAAACTAATATAATATGACACACACATCACAAATAGGCCCTACTACCGTACCCCTCTGGTACAGTTCACTGTTGGCGTCACTGTATATCAACTTTCTTCATTAAAACCTATGTAAAAACTAACGCGAACGCTCCCGCACTGCCGCCTGCGCATTGTGTGCTGTGCACGCTATGATAATAATATATATAGAGAAGGTAGCGAAACTCCGTTTGCGCAATTGCGACGATCCACTCATCGCATTCTTCACACTTTCACAAACTTGTCCAGGCACCTACACCTCCATTTGGGCCTCGTTTCTGCCGCTATAGTCCACTGAAACAAAACTATGGTAACTACCGCTGGCCGAGAAGTGCCACCTTGCTTTGTAATGCTGCTTTCAACTCAGAAGTCCGCCGTTCGTGTTCCTGATTCATCAAAAATGTATACGAATTCAACGAGTTCCGATCGGCCCGGTAGTCCGAGGACTACGCGTTAAACAAATCACGGCTGTTAGTTTTGAGGCTGGTTTATGCTTGGCAAGCTAATCGCGCTCCGCCGTCAGTACCTCGACTTACCTGGGGATCCGATCGGAATCGTGAATCGTTATACATTTTATTGATTCAATCAGCACGATGGCGGGACTTTCTGACTGGTTGAAGTCACATTACAAAGACAAGGTGGCACTTCGGCCCGGTAGTTGCGCCATAGGTTTTTGTTTTCAGTGGACTAGTAGCAGGGACCAGAACGAGTCCAAGATTAGAGCGTGGTAGGTGTGCTCTGACAAGTTATGTTGAAATGTTGAAAGAATCGCAGGAGTGATCGTCTACGCAAAAGCGCAGACAGAAGTTTCCTAACCTTCTCTATGATATATTATTATGATAGCGTCACAGCCCACTCGCCGCGTGGTTGCCGGAGCCGTTCCAGCGTTAGTTTTTACATAGGCTTTTTATGAAGGAAAGTTGCATATACATGACGCAGCAGATGGAACTGTAACAGAGTGGTTACAGCCTAGTAGGGCCTATTTGTGAAATGCTGTGTTCATATTTTATTTCGTTTTTACTGACTCTGTCCCCAAGTGCCTGTGGCTGTGGCTGTGCTGTGCGTGGTGCAAACTAGGAAGGGATTTATCTCATATTTATCCAATTATTTATTATAATCATTTATTATTTATACAAAGGTGCCAAACACATTGAGGAAAGAAGGTACACGACCTTATAGTTATGATATAACATTTAAAATCCTAATATTAATAATCATGTGTTTGTGCAAGCTCTGTTTTACCTCTGTAAGTGTAAGTGTAAGTCTGTTTGCCCAATCTCAAGATTGGTTGCCCAAACTGCGGATGCGCTGAAATTCCAAGTTTGGGCACAACATATGTGGTGCAACATAAGAACGATGAGACTGCGTAAATAAGAAATCACTGCCACTATGGCACTAATAGTAATATAGTAATAATACTCGAGTAAGATCAGTAACTAACATTCCCAACCCTGGGGTCGACACCATACGTAAACATAACCTACCACTAGAACTGTTATGCGCGTTTAACGTTCGAGCGAATCGTAAATTTAAGTACATCGTAATATAAATTTGCTAGCATTAACATAGCAGTTTATTAAATATTATTTATTTGTGTATAGGTTTTTAAAAATCGAATAATATTATTGCTAAGAACATACATAAAAAAAAACGTATTAACTCTCGCAGACGAGGTGCAGTGAGTCGGCGATCGAGAGATGTTTACGATGGATAGTCCCAAATTTGTCTTTCTTGTTCTATTAACAAGTTTATGCTGTATAACAGCGCAATGGAACACAAAAGACTACCTCAAAAAAGAGCACAGTTTAGTCAAGCCATATTCAGGTGAGAATAAAGCAGGGTCTTTATTTTGATTTCTACTCGATGAAGCGACACTGAAACTTGAGTCTGCACACGCGTCTAAACAGGAATTGTTCCGACCTGTGATTGGAGGATAAAAATAGACCCCGCCCACTCCCGCCGCATACGCTATTATGCTATGACCGGTAGGAACGTGTACTAACTATCATATAGAGCGAATGATTTGAGTTACATTTCTATAAGTTCTACCTAGTAGTATTATCCAGATGAGACGGGATACTAGAGAAGCGTTGCCGAAAGGAGGTGTTGACCCGAAGTGCTGAGCGCAGATCTTGCGCGCAGTTCCGCGGCAAGGCGCACGCGACCGCGGGAACGTCCTACGACAGTATGCAGCGCTGGCAGCTATGGATCCGTGCGCCGGCCTAGGGAATTGGCGCACGGATCCAT